TTAACCAACGAATCATGCCAAGCCCTGGCTCCAAAGACATGGTAACCAGTGAGAGCTCTCATCGAAAAAGGCTCAGATCAAATCGCACAAATCGCAATATTTCACTGCACTGCGTGCCACAGGTGGCCATCTACTCTATACATTGCTTCATTTTGGAGAATTCATACAAGATTCATGCACCAAGTCGGGCTCACTTGACTTCACTGAGTTATACGCGGCCTTTACTTCCCTGGAAATATAGACACGCGTCCCAACTATACGCATATTAGCCGTATGTTTCACGGGTGATGGGTGAATAAGTGATTGAGTTGCGTTAACAGTATTCCAGTTATATCACGGCGTGTCAGCTTATGTGGGAGGAAAGCCCGAAGGGATGCAGGTCTCAGACATTTACCACTTTGGTAAAATACACGACTACGGGTATGGTGCTGACAAACCTAGGGGGTAATGAGACACGATCATTGGAATTTTGGCGTACCCAAGGGACGCAACTCTGCACAGCAAAATGCAGCACCTTAAGGCCCCTTCGCACAGGGCTGCGACCTTTGTGCCACCGCTGAGCGATCAAAAACTGCCCAGGACGCTTAATGGTCGCCCAAACCCAGAAAATCATGTTTCATTGTAACTGCTCCAGCAGTTGTTCAGCAGTAACTGCTCGAGTTGTTCAACGTCTGAAACCACAATGAAACACTGCAGATACAAGCCCTCGTTTATAGGCAGGCTGGGGAGGCACTACGGGTAGCAGGCAGAAAAGAGGCAGAAGCATTGCCATGGTGTCTCAATGGTTGCCGTGGTCGCCGAATGAAGGCAAGGCGGTTGCCACAGTCATTATTCAGTACACGCTGTTGGTTGCCCAAAGGAGGCAGAAGGGAGGCAGAAGCATCGCCCAGATTGACGGGAAAATTTGCAGCAGAACGCATTTTTTACCAGGCGGCCATTTGGCGACCACTGTGCCTTCATTCTGCAACAACGGCAATGCTTGTGTCTCCCTTCTGCTGCCTCCTTTGAGCCTCCAACGACGACCTGGCAAAGTTTATGGTCGCACACGGGAGGTACAAAGGTCGCCATCCTGTGTAAAGGCCCCATTAGACGACTGGGCCACCCGTGCTCCTTACGTATGACGCAGGTACGTAGTGGACATAAACCCGTGACGTGTTGGCGATACGATACGAATGCTTGGAGCAACGACACGTCATTCCATTTTATTACGAAACAGTAGTTACGACATTCGGAACACCGTGATGAATTTCAGGGCGGCTTTTAATAATATCGATCATTGGTTTGTCTGGTTCATAGTCGATTATTTGCAACCCGCTGACATAAAGCTGGAATAGCTCGCGTGACCGGTGTTAAACAACAAACATTTCAAATGGAGGTCTAGCATGTGTGAAGAGGTGTTTGAAAGACTTAAATCAACCTTTTAGGTTCAACGATACAAATTGGCTCCAACCTCATCATCGTCTACCGAGATCTTATAGTACAGCCGCACAGATCTTGGAGCTTATTAATTAAATATATTGTCACAACTGTGTAACATATAGAATTATAGCAAAGGCTTCTAAATGCGACAAAGTCTTATATTAGATGAATCAGAGTAAACAGTTCAGGCCTTACAACACACTAAATGACACGCTTATCTGTTACTTGACATTATCACACCAGCGTCAGATTGGCGACTATCTTCGCATAGAAACAGTCAGCTAAAGGAATAAATAACACAATAACATCTCCCACGTCAGTGGATATACCAGTTGACAGGTGTATCGCGACTTGACCATTGACTGACCTCATAATAAGTTAATTTTATTCATGACTGGTCTAAGAGGTTTACCTGTGGTCTTTAGGTGGAAATTTACCATAAGTATATGTCTCGGTGACCTTGGCTTGGTCTTTGTAGACGGCTAAATATTGCTGTTGGCCTCTCTCTTGGCTGCCGGAACAAGGCTCCTCCACGTAATGGTCTCCCCTGGGGCTGTCAGAGTAGAGTCTTCAGTACTTCATGCATATCGTAAAAAGAGATTAAGATCGCTATGTAAAGGGCAGATGGCCACCGCCTGAGAAACACGTTCAACCCAAGCTGTGCGAATTACACAGTAAAGATAATGTATTCGATGTGTTTGATCAATGCATTGCAATCCAATCATTACTCTTGCATTGGCTATTTTACATTTATGTGTACAGTGAGTGAGTGACTTGGGTTTAACGCCGCTTTTAACAATATTCAAGTTTAATCGCAGCGTGTCAGCTTAATGTGGGAGGAAAGCCCGAAGTGATGCAGGTCTCAGACGTTTATCGCTTCGTTGAAATCCACGAGCACGGGTATGGCGCTGACAAATCTAAAAACACGGGGCGATCCGGGATTCGAACCCACAAACATAGGTTTCTGGCGTGCCCAAGGGACGCAACTCTGCACAGCGAATCGCGGCGCCTTAGACGACTGGGCCACCCGTGCCCCCTTATGCATACAGTGAATCGGTACGTGTAAAGAGACCTAAAACATGAACGGTATGTGTTATGAGACGGATACTGACAGGCTCTGTTAAACAGTCCATTATCATTTACTGAGAAATAAACCTATTGAAATATTCACACGCAACACAAGTCATGCATGCACGCAATATATCCCGGCACGCAGCACGAACTCAGATCAGGTACATTGTATACAAACGATTATCAATAACCATTAACACAAGCAGGGACTTAAACAGCCGGCAAAAGAGAGTTTTCACCCATGTTTGATGGTGGCTAAAAATGAACCAAACCGGAAATGGCTGTTCGATGGTGATGTATTTGAGACGGGGTATCATAGTTGCGTTTTGGATAAGTTTGCAGCCTAGTAATATCTTGATAACTGTTGTAATGTTTTGGTATAATCCAGTTTTCAAGTGCAACCTTTATTTTGGCGGGCAGTTGAGATGGAGATATTTATCATGGGTGATGAGACGCTGCAATTCGCTGTGCAGAGTTGCGTCCCTTGGGTACGCCTAGTTTGCCTTCTTTATGCTTCTAGGTTTGTCAGCTCAATATGCGTGCTCGTGGGTGTCACCAAGTTGTAAACTTCTGATACATGCACTCTAATGCATCTCATCGTATCCCATTTGCGTGGATCGATGCTCATGATGTCAATCACTGGATTATCTGGTCCAGGCTCGATTATTTACAGACCGCCGTCATATATATGGAATTTTGCTAAATGCGGCGTTAAACAACAAACAAACAAACAAACAAACAAACATGCACTTCAGGCTTTCTTCCCACACCAAGCTGACCGCCCCTTGAATACTGTTCACAGAAGAATACCTAAAGTAGAACACAGGTCTCAGGCTTTAACCACCTTCCTGAAATTTATCATCACAATACTTTCCAGAAGCATGGATGATCAATGTCGGGCCAAATATGGGATTCGAATCCTTAACAAGCGGGTCCTCTAACGTCTTAGAACACTAACCCACGGCTGGTTGCTATTCACCAAACAGTGGGTGACTGTCCTGCTCTGCGCCATTAAAGTAGGCGACAAGAGATCCTGCTGGTGTTTTGGGTGTTACGGGTCGTTGAATGAATATGATATATCTCTGTCCTCTGGGCAGTGGGGTAACCTTGTGCTTAAAGCGTTCGCTCGTTACGCTGAAAGCCTGGGTTCGATTCCAAAAGGGGTACACTGAAATACTGTTCAAATTGGCGTTAACACCAAACGTTTTCACTCGTCTCCAACCAGTGCATCTGGCCCTCAAAACAAAGGGACTTAACGCCTCTCTGCCCGACGTTCACTTTGTTTCCCAACAAACATACATAACCAGGAACACGAACTAGGCTATAACAGCCTCGCCACGGTTCTTATAATGACCCGCTTTGTGAGAGAACGTGCGAGGAGCGGCCCCGGAACACGGAGACACTGCTTAAGCCGAACAGTATATATTTACCTCAAGTCTTTATACGAAGAAATGTTGTCGCTGACAGGTGGTCAATGTCGTTCATTAAAACTTACGATGTGTTTGATCTTGTTGGTTCGATACAAATTAGTTTTAGACGGAAGCGGAGAAGGAATTAAAAAATCCAATTGTCCTTTTTGTGCCATGAAATTGATCCAACTTTTTCCTCTGGCAAATACATTTTTTTTTATCCGTGTTTCAAATCTTGAAAATTTCCGTGATAAAAGCGTTGCACAGTAAAGCGAAATAGCTTAGGAACAGTTTGCGTATACATATATGCCCGAGATATGTTTTTAGTGTTGTGATGATATACAAACCCTTATAGATAAAGAAAAAACAGGTATTTTGGGAAAGTTTCAGGAAAAGATTAATATAATAAACACGGGTGCACAAGAAATGCAATTTTACTTTCATAATACACCAATGCATTAATAAATAAAATATATAATGTGTATACATATACAATTTAAGGGAAGGAGTGGGGTTAGTGAGTGCGTATAGTTTTGCGCCGCTTTTAGCAATATTTCAGCAATATCACAGCAGGGGACACCAGAAATGGGCTTCACACATTGTACCCATGTAGGGATCGAACCAGGGTTTTGGGCAAACCCCACCGCCCTCGGTGGGTAGTGGATGGTACATGTGTACTTAAAACAATAAACAAAAGAAATTATGCCAGAACGAAAAATAAACATGTTAGCTGTATTTTTATTCCTGTACTGTTCAGTGGTCATGACATAAAACGTGCCCAAGTCGCGTCTTGGGTTGAAAAAAAAGTTAAGGAATGAGCAGCCAAGAGAATTACTTCCCCAAATCCGATGATTCTTCGCATCAGAGGTCGCTGCTAGCCTAGTTTTGCTAAAAACTTCCATTTATAGTAATGGGGAGGCGAGGTTTGTGAAAAATCAATAAATTTGGATAATTCAGAAAACACTGTGCTAAGAGCTCGTGAACATCACAGTATAAGGCACATCATGTCATAGGGGTTACGGAGCGTGTGAAAACGTCGCGTTGTGTCAAGATTATCTTATCAGCCATATCCTGACACCCCCACAAAATAGACTGTTCCACCTCGTGGAGCCGGTGTAACAGTGTATTCAGTATCGGGGTCGCCCATGTAAGTGTTGCCGCTGTCAGCTGTCAAGTTGGGAATTTTACAATCTGAGAGCACCAAATCAAAGTATCGAAAATGCGTTGTTGTTTAGTTGTGGCATTAATTGCCGTTCTTGTCGTCTGTGACGCTAGGAGGGTGAAAAGGGAACGCAAGCATCATTTGAAAACGCACCACAACCAACACGAGAAATCCTTCAAACACCACCTCGAAACGGACAAGGTAAGTTTACATTGCACAAACTCTATACCCATCTTACACAAGTCTTTTGTTCAGAGTGTGTTGTTTATCCTAGCGGGCCAGGTGGTTTGCGTGATATATAAGATATCCACTGGTAATTAAACTTATAACACACCTTGTGTTATGTTTAACCTGACATTGTTACAAAAGAGAAACTTTGTTTGAAAAAGTTTCACTTTTTAAAATGACCTTTTAACAAGTCTAATAGTTCAGGTTTTTTCTGTATTTTTTACAAATTGAAGCCTAGATCATGCAAGTTTTGTGATATAATATATTTCCTCCCAAATGATATGTGATAATTAATTTAAGTTTCATATTTCAAAATAATACACATCAATGATAATATTCGTCATTTCACCACATTCCAATGTTTATTTGGGGGTGAAAAGTCTATAGTCACGTCAAATAATCCACTTGAAGTGCCCAAAAGTAAATACTCATTATTAGTTACAAACTGTCTAGACATGGTTGAGAAACAGTCTGTGCAATGCCCTCCCACAGGTAATAGAATTTCACCTTTCAAACTATTTTAAGATATAAACCGCTCAAACACAAACATGTGATTTTTACATGCCCATAATTTTCAATTCCTACTCCAACACTGAAATCCTTGCAGTGTCTCATAAATTTTAGCTTGGTGTGTCATGTATGGTTTAGATCGCCCACACTGAGTAAACTAAATGGGGGCCAAGAGCACCAAAATGAGGCCATGTGTGTTTGTTGAGGACTATTGCTCAGTCACTGAGTACAAGCTGGCTAGCCATGGTGATGATCTTGCTATATATATCCCTGATGAAAACATCTCACCTTTGCCCACCTGTAAGGACTTAGAAGAGAAAAAGAGAACGTCTTTTATTCTCTGAACTGTTGACAATTTAAATGTTTATGTAGTTAATGCTTCAAGGATGTGATGATTTGAAACACATGTAGGGAATGGGATAGGAGTGTTTGTTTAATCATTTAGTGATGTTGTGTCATAATTAACTTAAACAATTAAGGATAAGAAACTGTATTTGTTGATATTGTTGTTTGAAACTCACTTGGAAAGTCTTTTTCATAGGTTTGTTGAAAAGAGATAAATGTTTTCTTTGTTAAAATATATTTGTATAAATACATAAGAATAACCTCATAGTGTTTGCACAATATCTATCAATGATGTAAAAAACTGTTTTGTAGCCTCACAACATTATTTATTCCCATATTACATGGAATTAACCAGGATTCTACGCGAAGTGCCCCTGGCAGGCAAATTGCAAACTAATTGTTAATTTGTACAAAATTGGGATTTTTTAGTTCTGATTTTCTTAGACTGAGAAGTTTTGCAACATTGTATTTTGAGATTGTATTCAAAGCGATATATGAAACTAAGCATTAAAACCTGTTCTTATTTATTGGCCCTGTTATCAGTGACATACAGGTTATCTCTACTAAGCCATAAGATTAGGTATGTATTATCATGAATTGGGAAATATTTTGTTTCCGAGTTGTTAATTCTTTCTGACTTTTGTCGCAGACCTGGAGCTGAATATCAGCCTCTGAGCAGGGTTAGATAAGTCCCTGCATCATTTCTCTGTTCCCCAAAATGATTTTGACTTTTGATATATTTGTTACATTTCTTGAGTTGTTGACAATTTAATGGGAAAATTAAATATAGTCCTCGTACTATGGCCTTCTTTTGTATCCCACCATCATCTACAGTGAACAAGAAACATGATGGAATTAGTTCATCATCTGATCTTAATGATGTCATATAGAGGAAAGGCCTGACAAAATGTCAGTAATTACTCTGTTATATGCAGGTGCATGGGTGGCCTGACCCATGAAAATCTGGGGTAGAGTAGGTCTTCAGCAACCCATGCTTGTCGTAAAAGGTGACTATGCTTGTCGTAAAAGGCGACTAAAGGGATCGGGTGGTCAGGTTTGCTGACTTGGTTGATGCATAGCATCGTATCCCAATTGCGTGGATCAATGCTCATGATGTCAATCACTGGATTGTCTGTTCAACACTCAATTATTTACAGACTGCCTTCATATAGCTGGAATATTAATTAGTGCGGTGTTTAACAACAAACAAACAAACATTGAATGAGATGGGGCCAATTATTTTTTTATAAACTCAGCCACTTTGGGGTTATTGAGAATCTGTTTACTAAACAGCAGAATTTCTGCATTCTTGAGACCAATTATATGTTTTATAATGACATGTGTTGTCTTTAGCACATGTTTGTATATACGTTAACAGGAAGTATGACACCCATGGAATACGTGGTTAATTATGGCTGACTCATGCGTGTGTTAACTGTTTTAATGTCACATGTAAGTCCCCAGTGCTGTGGCCTGGAGGTGTGGCTGCTCACTGTGCGGAGTAACATTTGTTAGCTGCCAGGATTTGCTAGAACGCCTCTCTTTCTAGTCATTATCTTTGGTCTGACAGTACCATACTCACCAAAGTGGTCATTGTCGCACATCAGCATCACTTTGGGCAGTTCTCACACAGGCAGCTGACATGCCTTGATATGAGATTATGATTTAATACTGTGTGAATCTCTGTCTCACTCACTCACTCACTCACTGGGGTGGTCGGGTAGCCTTGTGGTTAAAGCTTTCACTCGTCACGTTGAAGACCCAGGTTCGATTCCTGACATGGGCACAATGTGTAAAACCCGAATTTCTGGTGTCCCCTGCAGTGATATTGCTGTAATATTGCTAAAAGCAGCTAAAAACCTGACTCACTCACTCAAAGCCATATTAGTCTGTGACAGAAATAGGGTTTAGTGAACAAACTAAAATAGGGACTGGGTACAGTTTAGGTGCTCATGATGTCAATCACTGGATTGTCGGGTCCAGATTCGATTTACAGGCCTTGGTCTTATTTCTGTAATCATGGTAATATTGCTGAGTCTGTCATTAAACAAACAAACAAACAAACACTTTTGTTTCACCAAATGTTCAGTGCATCGTGATACACTGTGCCACAATAAAAATATCTTAAAGTAAGCTGAAGGATTGACTGAAACAAAGTGACACCAGTGGACATACAAGAGTGAGCAGGATTTACCTTAAGAATGGCATGACAGTGGGATCACTGCACCAACAAGACATCACATACCATGTAGGCAACTATGCTTGTCGTATGGGCAGGGGAGGGGCCGGGGGGGGGGGGGGGGGGGGGGTCAGATCTTTGTATAAGTATCACCTGTCCCCAACTTGATTCAAATAAAACTGTTTTCTATACAAAATCTAGGGGGGCAACTGCCCCCCCCTGCCTGGCTGGCTACGGCACTGCATAGATAGGTTTTTCTTTGTGTGAATTAAACTTTGTGTGAGTGAATAAACGTCTGAGCATTACACTAATTAGTTCCAATCATTCCAGTCTCCTCATACAGCCGGAATATTGTTGAGTGTGTTAAACAAAAATACAAGCCAGTAAACAAATATCGTGGATGTGATTGTAAGAAATAGTTAGAACATGTAGAATACTCTGACTGTTTTACTCAGAGGACAGAATACTTCAGTACACCTGTATAAACTTCATAGAAATATGACATACATAATGGAGTTGTTATGGTGACCAGTGCCATCTGTTTTGTTTCAACCTTAACAATTCTTTTATTGGTAAGATTAAATACAAACATGTCTTGTTCTATGTCAGGTTTTCTAAGAATGTTAAACGTTGATTAGGGGCTGTGTCGGATAGCGGAGTGGTTTAAAATGTCTGCTTGTGAAACAAATCCTGAGTTTGATTCCTTGCGTTTGTACAATCTGTTCAGCCCATTTCTGGTCTCCTCTGCAATTATATTTTTGGGGTCAGTGCGTGCATGGTACACTGCCACTATATCATTAACAAACAGTACTCGGTAACACTCTCAGAATTATCCAGTTACTACATTTGCTGACAGCTGATTTAAGAATCCAAGTACAATATCTCATGAGTAATGTGCATATTAAAGAATTGAAGTAAAAATTTAAAAGTTACCTGTGCAAGTGTTTGCTTGATATCTAAGAAAATCTCTGGACTCTTGTCAATAGTGTCTGCCTGGAGACTGGAAGTTTGGTGGTTCGATCCCTGCCTGCGTCATCCCAAAAGACGTTAAAAGACGGTACTTGTTGCTACCCTGCCTGACACTCAGCATTAAGGGGCTAAAACAAAGACCGGTCTGCTCAGAGTCAGTATACTGTGTCTGTGTGGGGCATCCATGTTTTAACTATGGCATGGTACATCAGCAGGCTAGCACTATAAAACAGGCTTTAGCCTGGACTAGGACAAGCAGCCACACACATACACATACACATGAGCATTCATGTTGCCATCTTAGTACGATTTTAATCCCCATTCCACCTCACAATCCAACTCGCGACACACGATCGCATGAATAGCAGAAAAAATGCTGCATCATCAGTATGTGGTTTCAGATTCCTGTTTATTCCGATATCATTTTGCAAAAGAAAACCTGACATAATGTATTTACTTTCTGTATTGAATTACTACAAATATCCTGACATTTGTAAGCCATAAATAGGCTGACCTACTCTTGGTTTGTAGTCTCAAGTGCATCAAGCCATGTTAATTCTGTCTAGTGACGCTGCACATGTCTTACATCCAACAAATTTAGGTTAACTCCGGTGGGATTTCTTGTTAGCATTACGAGTGTTTCATTGTCAAGCCACGATGTGAGGACAAACTGCTTTGTGCTGATTGTGGGTCTATAAGTCTATTGGGAGCAATTGTATCGTTGCTGTTAATCAGAATAAAACTCAGAACAATGCAGCAGGAGAATTGTAAGCTGTTGACAAATCATTATCTGCCCCTCCTGGAATGTTAAACATCACTGTAGACAGTCACTGGCCAAAAAGCAAGAAGAAATTAATTTTGTGTGCGAAGAAATTCGTTCTTTTAGAGCCCTGAACTGTTATTTGTGTTTCTTGTAAAATTAAGCACCTTCTTAAAAACCCCACCACACACACCTTGGTGATCCAGTTTG